CCAAACTCTGCTTTCCTAGTTCTCTGAAAACAGAAGCCAACTTGGAAACACTGAAATCAATTCCGAGTGAGCGGTTAATGATAGAGACGGGTAAGATTTTGTATCTTGGTCAGTTTGTGGCTTAAGCACTGCTGGCTAATGAGATTTGCTTGTATAGCAATGATAAAGCAGAATCCAGACCCAGGGAGTCTGGAGCAGAAACAGGACTGGCTGTTTCTCCACTTGGGAAAGCAGTTTACAGGCTCCAGAAATATTCCTTTTCAGCCGTCTGCTGGAAGGAAGGAGCTGCTGTGTCAGTTCTGACATTGCAGGGGAAGATGAAAAGGACAAATCATCAAGCCCAGAGTTTTTAATGAACCCAGGGACCAGAATCCTGCTTGGATAGCTGAAAATTTGGCTTGCTGGAGATGTGCCAGGCACAGGGCAGTGGCTACGAGCTCGCTACACGTAGCAGTAATGGCATGTGGAAACAACTGCTTTTTAATGGGATAAGGTGGAGGAACACTTGAATTCCCCTCTGGCCCTCATGAGCAGTGATTTCAGTTGACTGACTAGGGATGTGTTTGGGGCTTTTATGGCATGTTCATTTCAGTTACCAGTAACTGGCAGTTATAAATACAGAGTTTGTTTTCTGTAGCTGAGAAAGGAAAACCACAAACTGCCTAAATCCTTACTGCAGTACAGACCTGTTATATAGGAAGTTTGTGTGGAACACATGTAGTGTATGGAGCTGTCCTTATCATGTCAGAGGAAATCAGTGTCATTTTGTAAAATGTAAAATCAAAACCAGTTCCAAAGATTGTGGAGAAATTAAACTGCTCAAATCTCTGCAGTTCCATTTTGAAGTGGAAGTCACTGCTAGAAGAAGACTGGTAGTTGGTTGAACTGCCTCATGCTGTTATCAAATGATTGCATACTCTAATCATTTTTTCTCACATGAACCTAGATGCACCTTGGTGTGGAGTGAAGAACACTCATGCTGGAGCAAAATACATTAAAACTACATTTCCTACAAAAAAGAAATGGGAAGTAGGGCACTGCTTGAAGGACAGAAATGAACCCTGCCATATAATGTAAGTGTACTGCTGCACTGGTGTTTAAAATACATCAAATCTCGGGGGGGGGGGGAGGGACGGGATGGGACAGAAAAAAATCACAGAATCATGGAATGATTTGGGTTGGAAAGGACCTTAAGATCATCCAGTTCCAACCCCCTGCCATGGGCAGGGACACCTTCCACTAGACCAGGTTGCTCCAAGCCCTGTCCAGCCTGGCCTTGAACATTCTTGCCAGGGTTGGAGCAGCTGCAGTTTCTCTGGGCAACCTGTGCCAGGGCCTCACCACCCTCACAGAAAAGAATCTCTTCCTTACATCCAACCTAAATCTCCCCTGTTTAAGCTTGAACCCATTACCCCTTGTCCTGTCAATCAAGCTCACTGGAAATGTAGTAAAGAGAAATGAATTCCAAATATACTGAAACTTGTGCCCAGTGTTGCTTTGTAGGCTGTGGACAAATTTGTAAGTGTTTAATTTTCCCACTTCAGCAATTCTGGATGTAAAAAGCTCCCTGAAAGTGGAACCAGCAGAGGTTTTGTCTTTTCACTGCTACACCGGAGAAGGGGTTAAACCCTGTGAAGTAACATTGCACTTGGTGATTGTTCCGGTCCAGCAGCACTGGAGCCGTGGGGGCAGTACTGAGGCAGTGAGCGGTGCAGATGCCTGTGCTGGCATCAGTGGCCGTGCCATGAATTGCTGTAACGTGGTTTGTGGTTAGGATTGTCTCTTCATTCTGCCGCTGTGCTTAGAAAGAACTGGTCCCACGAAGGTCAGATCTGAGTAATAGCAGTCAGTGTGCAGAACAGTGGCAAAAAACTCCAGGGGTTTTGGGCAGTTGCAAAGTACAGAAACCATCTGCTGCTGCCTTTTCATGTGCTGCTTCACTGAGGTGTGAAAAACAAAACCAGTCAGTTTTCTCCATTAAATAGCACCCGTAGATGAAATGCCTGAATTTTACAACTGTTTCTAAGGTCAGTGAATGGTATCAATGTGCTCAGTCATCAGCTCCTTGCAACAAGGAGCTCAGGACAGTTTCTTGTGGTGTGGTACGTGAATATACTTGCAGCAGAAGCTCACAGCTCCACCTGCCCAGGAGCAAAGCCCATGTACTTGATCAGAAATGGGATTTACTGCTGTGAAGTCTCATTGTCTTTCTATAAAAAGTTGTGTAAGTTGCCTATCTGGAACTAGCTTCTGAAATACTGCTTAGGATAGTGCTAAAGAATCCAGGTATTCAGTAAGGTGTCTCCAAAACAAGTTTAGTTGAGAACTGAAGGGAATTCTGTGGCTTTTTTGGGAGACCTGAAGAAACTCAGATGATGACTGCATAGTTTACACAGTGACATCTCCTAGTGTTTAGATACACTTTAGGCAGTTACCTGGATTGTAATAACTTTTAACTGACTTTATTGTTGTTTTACACATATTAGCATAGAAGGGCTTTATGACTTTCTAGGGTCAGGCCATGTTTTTGGAACAGGGAAGAGATTCAGCTGAGAACATTTTTCTGACCACAAGTGGAGGGAGGGCCTCTGCTGCTGTTGAGTTTTGTCAAGCCTGTATGTGCTAACACCACTCTGTGGCTTTGTCTGCTGCCTCAGCTGTAGCTAACGGGGTGTTTCAGAAACCCTGAGCTGGAAATGCGGGGAGGCTGTCCTGCAGCAGTACCTAACTGCTGTGCATTGGCTTCTGCTGCCTTTTATAAAACAAAATCTTTAGTTCACCCTGATTTAAAAAGGATTGTCCCTTTAATGTCAATTGTAACCTGTACTAAATGACTTGAGAAACTCTTCAACCTTAGGAAACATCACGCATGGCAACTGAGAACTGCTGTTTTGTGGCTTCTCAAGTAGGAAGATGTGGCGTGAAGGGAAAGTCAGACCCAGGCCACAAAGGGTATTTCACGTTTAGGGTGTACAGGCTGTTTGATATAGCTCAGCTGGCAGGGGGAATTTTGCACTTGTCTTTTTTGGGTGGTGCTGGACACCTTTCATTTCTGATCTTTAATATATTTTCAGAACTGCACTACTCCCCTTGCGGCTAAAATTAAGCAAACAAACAAACAAAAGCTTTCAAGATGCTTTTTAGCTTTAGTGATTTCATCTACAGTGATACAGTAACGTACAGCATCCTCCTGCATCCTAGTGGGGTTAATTATGAAAGCTCTACAAAAGCTCTTCAAGGGCGAATTCTTTGGTCTCTGTTGCTTATTTCTGTGTAGGCCAGATATCACCCTGTATCATATCGAGCATCCCTATAAATCAAGAAGCTGTTTGGTTGCAAAGCATGGGAGGGGTCAATGAAATGGGCTAAGTCTGCACAGAAGAAAGTACTTGCATATAGTAATTGCTAAGAGCAACTTTTTCCATTAGTCTTCCTCAAAAGGATCGGCAAGATCCAAAAGTACCAAGCCCTCCTACCAAGCTTGAGCTGCTTACTCTCTTCACCACTACTAGAAAACATAATAAAGTTCAACACATCTTAGGAACTGTTCAGAATATTCATTTTCTTCAGAGTGATACAAAATCAAGAAAATAAGCACGGAGGAAGAAGTGTGGCTTGGTTTTCTGTTGCCTGGTATTAATATTATTCATCCCATTTTTCTTGCCTCCTTTCCCTAGCTTGTTTCAAGGCTACAGGCCTTCTAAATTTGCTCATTTAACATTGACTGCAAGTATCTGAATGTGTTAATCACAGTTAAGCTGGAGAAGGGGGAAGTAGCAAATAAGTCCCTTTGGCAGCTCTGCTCTCAGGTAGGGCTGTAGTTGGAGTTTAAGCTTTGCCACAGACCAGTTAATTCATAGCACAGCCTTAGCCTTGAAAGGCTTCTGGGTTTCAGTCTGAAAAATGAAGACCATTGATAAAGACACCCACAAAATGACACTCTCTTTGAACCAGAAAGCCGTTTAATTACCTCCAAACAAGTCAAAAGACCAAAGTTGAGTCTGTACCAGTGCGCAAACAGTGTTCAGTGTGAAGGAAAGGGCAGTTAGTGACTTAGAAGTGAAGCTGTTTGCATAGCTGAGCCCCTGCCCTGTTTCTCTCAGCATAGGTTTGTATTCCAGGTTAATCTAAGTGACTTGTACATACACATGCAGCACTCTCCAGTATGTTCAGGTCTGAGTGTCAGTCTTCTAATACCAATCTTTTCTTTTTTAGTCAAATACTGGAAATAATGGCAGCAGTAAGAGAAGATGACCCGCTTGAGTTGGCCAATACTCTATATAACAACACTATTAAAGTCTTCTTTCCAAATATATAAAGTTGTTTTTCTTACATTTATTCAGTATAACTTTACTAAGTATATTGCAAAACCTTAAAAATTATCCTACCTGCAAATTCTTATCAATGGAAGCCAGTATGTAGCTTTATTTTTTTCCCTATGGTACAAGATTAAAGCTGCTTTTGAAAAGGTGGTCTCTGCATTGGTGCAGTTTCTCAGCCCTGTTTCCTTTTCAGCAAGATTGAGGATTGATTTCAAGGACAGCCCAAACAAGCAACCCCTGCTAACACCTGTAGACATTGAAAGATGAATACCAGGCTGCTGCATTCACATGTAGAGCACTTCAAGCTGTTACTGGTAGTAAATTCAGCAGTGTTTAACACATGGCTGGCATGCTGTGCTACTTCACCAGAAAGCTTATTGCAGTTTCACCTGTTGTTCCACCACACACACAGGTGCTATAACATTACACTTACCAACCTAATTTTTTACTTATTTTAAATACAACTCACTAGTTTTTAGCACTAAAGCTCTGCTAATACTGAGTCTGTAAGTAAAGCTGCTTTGGCTCAGGCTTTTCATTACTGATTTGACCTGCTCAAGTCTGTTTTCACCAGTATTTCTGATTTGCATCCAGAACTCATTGATAGGGGATTACTGGGATACAGTCTTTGGCACAGCATTGTCACTACATCAATTAAAGAGTAGTTTTCCAACCATCTTAAAAACATGTGAAAATGTTTTATTCCATGTACAATAATGTACATAATTTTCAGGTGGCCATGAAAGAGACCAGCAAAAATCAGAGGTATATTTACAGTAGCACACACCACAGTAAACCACCACTGTTCACAGACTCAACACTGAGATACTGCTGTTGTGCTTAAGGACAATAACTACAAAGTGATACTTTTATTGTTGGAAGTCAGCTTTAAACAAATACCTCACGGCTTTGTAAAGGGCATTATTCACCAAGAGAGTCTGAGTCAGCATTCAGAGTCTCAGTTGACTGCTGTGCCACACAGTCACTGTCTTCCTCTTCACTGTCAGAACTGTCGTTATCTTCATTTACTTCATTTTCAGCATCAGCAGCTTCTTCTGCAGCTTCTACAGGGTTTTCATTGGGTGCCACAAACCCATTGTTGTTGGAAACACTGGTGTTTTCCTTGTCCTCAATGTACACTTTCTGATGGCACATAGGGCAAGTGTCCTGGATGTACAGCCACTTCCGAAGACAAAGTGCATGAAAGTAATGGTTGCATGGAGTAATGCGAGCAGAGGTGGTGAACTCATGGTAGCAGATTGCACAGACATCATCTATTTCATGTAACCGACTTCCTTTTACCTCTGGAAGCGAGTTTATTTTCTTCACAGCAGTCCGGCGGTTTATAAACGTCTTCCAGCCATTCTTTGCTTGCAGGTAGATGTTGAAGTACGCGTGTAGACACATCATGCAAGCGCGGATCTTGCTGCCTGACTCAAATACCATTGTGTAAGCTCCATTCCCAAACATGACCACTCCAAAGATAAACTCAATAATATTGCCAGTTGACCGAACGTAATAGACATAATCATCAAGTTTTTCCCATAGCACATTATAGTAGCCATCAATCATAAACAATATATAAACAGTAATAGAAACTATTACTTTGAGGCAGAGCTCGACACAGAATGCCGTCACGGCAAAAAGCCATGTGTTTAGTGCATAGTGGTGCCAGAGGATGTAACTGAGCAGAACTGGGAGGATGAAAAGGCAAGCGGAAACCAACAGGACAGGGAAGTGTCTGCGAAACGACGACACGTGGGAGGCACTGAGAGACATCAGCACAGGGTCTGTCATCCCATGGATAAAATGCAGGACTGCGGTCAACAAAAGGCACATGTTTCTACTCAGGCGCACCAACCGTTCTTCTGGTTTCAGTCCACTCAAACCGGTCTGCAGAGCCAAGATGAAAAACAGGACGGGCGCTACAAACCCCAGCCTTTTGTCATCCTCGTCAGTGGAGCCGATGAAGGCCAAGATGCCGAGCCCCAGGTAATGCGCGATGGAGGAGATGACGGCGCTCATGCCTAACACAGTTAAAGTGGAGTCACACCCACTTATGATCAGGCTGCAGAGCAGTTCCCAGCAGTTATCCCACGATATCAAGAAGAATTTCTCTTCTGTATTAGTTTCAGCCATCTTTACAACATATGTTAATACCACAGCCTGGGCTGTAAGTCTCGTTAGCCAGAAGACACGCAGTACAGCTGGAAACCGAATCCTTTTCCATGTATCCTCCATCAAGAGCTGTAATCCGTAAATGCGATACATGTGTCTCACCAGCAGATAAACGTAGCGCACCGAGTAATAGAACCATTTAATTTTCATCACCAAAATGGCTGTGGTGTTTAGTGTCAGAACCAGGCCTGAAATAAAAACTAGTATCTGCCGGACATTTAAAGGTAATTCAACAATCAAGCCAATGACAGGAATCAGTATATCCAGGATGATGAGTTGAGAGTATATGGACTGCACGTTCAGCAGTGTAACATACCCAATTCCAAAGGTCAGCTGAAGGATGGAAAGCGCCATCCATAGCGAAGGTCCTTTATGAGGGAAGATCTGGATTCCAAATGCAGCTGTGTAGTAGGCACTGTAGAAGTTTATGTGCAAAGCAGCATAGTAATTCACCAACACTGAAGTTGCAGCCAGCAGGAATGCCGAGGCGATCATATAAAACTTGAAAAGTGCTCGCTGTTGTAAGACCAGAACAACACTGGAGACAAAGACACCTAAAAACACATTGAAGTCATTTAGTTCTCAGCAGAAATTCAACACCAGATTGTAACCTATGAGCTTTGGAGCTACATTAATTTCATGTATCACTTCCCCATTAGTCACTCATAACTTTGCATTACCAATGGGGCCCTTTCCAGAACAACTTTCATCCTTTCAGAACAGACATCCTTTCCAGAAGATGACTTCAGCTCTGCATTTAATATGCCTGTTCCCTGCAGCTGCAGTGCAAAGCAATGCAAGCAGTAAATCACAATCACTTATTAAGGTCATCTGCAGTCTCAGACCAGAGCAGCAACAGCTCCCAGCCCTTCAGCCTCAGCCTTGAAGTCTAAGGGTAGTTAAGTTCTAAAAGCAGAAAAGAATTACCACATTAGAGGCAAAATTAGTAAGGAATGAATAAAATAGTAAATCCTCCAATTCACTTGAGCAAAGCACTCAACTACAGATATCCAAGCTGGAGTACCAAAGGTAAGTCACCAACTTAGCTTAACCCTAATGGGAAAATAGTCAAAACTCGCTGTAGTTTACTGGGGGAAGACGTTGCTCTTCCAGTTCCCTTCAGTTTGCTTTCAGTCCTGATGAGATATCATGAAACAGTCTTCAGAGAGAAGACCTTCTGTAGTACAAGTTTTTGTACACAGAATCCAAACCTGCACCTGCTGCCCCTGCCAGTGTGAACTTGCATCCTCCTTGTCAGACATCAGGTTCAGAGCCTGAAATTCCTGTTTGCTCACCTTTCCCTCACACTGACCATGAGCACATCTTGGCCATGACTGGGAAGTCTGTGCCTTCCTATGAGAAATCCTATCATAGCATCTATAGTGCTTTTGTGTTCTATTTATGTCCTTGCAGCAAACTCCTGTAGTGCAGCTTATGAACATCATCACTATGTACCACATCCGTAAAGGCTCTGCCCTATCAGGTGTTACATTAAATGGAACTTACCGCTACATTCACTTCCTTAAACATCACCTTCAGAAAACACATTGCTTTTGGTTTTGGCTTCTCAGTCAGCTTCCAGTCACTGCAACTGCTTTCTCATCCAAATCAGTTTGGGGAGATTTTGACCTCTACAACTTACTAAGTTTCTTTCAATTTCCACGTGGAAACAAATGAAATCACAAGTAATTCTACTGGAGGACAGCATCAGTCTTTTCTGATGACTGTATTTTAGATTGTTCCAAATCCTCCATAATCAAGTGTTTAAAAATATATTGTAAGCCATGGGATTTTAAGATCATGGGAATGAAAAACTCTGCTCAGACCCAGCATCTGATTCCATCAGTAGTGTTGCCAGCTGCTTGCATAAAAACAATAATACAACCAACACCCTGGAGGACTGAATGCGACGGGAGAGGGTCAATGCAAAAGGCAGACTACAGAAGAAGTTATGAATGCACTTTTACAGTATTCCCTGCCAGCAGCACTGGTCGATACAAAAATATTCTCCTTAACTAATCATTAACCTGGTAACCCTGTGCAGTGAACTGAGGAAAAGCCACAGTCAGTTTCCAGAAAGCACCTTGTATTGTAGTTCAGCTCTGCCACAAAACCCCCTGAATATTCATGCCTTACATACAGCACTTGTTTTAACATCAGCTGGACAGTTTCACTGCCTTCTGCACGCCACACACACACCTTTGGGAAATGAACACTCCAGATATGTCAGTGCCCTCTGTCCTTTCCTGGCAGGCACAGAAACTAGCTCCTTATTTACCCAGTTCTGCTCATTTGAGGGAAAGGAGATGCATTTTGCACTGAGCAGGCTGCTCTCAAACACGCCTGTTAACAAATCCTAGTTATCTTCCCTGCAGTTTCAGTAGCAGGCAGGCCTGTGTTTAGGCACTACAGGTCATCTCAAAACAACCATTTCACTTGCAAGACAGCCCTAAACACAGTACTACAAGTCAACAGCAGAGTCAGGCCTACTGGCTCCTCTGAAGAGGAACTAACAAGGTGCAGCATTTTGCTGCCAACCGTTGCGTGGAAAAGTCAAGACAACCCAAAGGAACCTCAGAAGACTACAGGAGATAACTGAAATCTCAGAAAGAGAGGTGAGCTCTCCTCTCCCTTGTCTCCATGTCATTCAGTCCATCTTGCCATAAGAAGGCTTCCCCCTGCCCTGCAAAGTGCTCACCAAGCAGCCCATCTTTTCCCACTTTCCCTCTGATGGAAAACACTGCAGTTCCTCCCTTGGTAAGAGTTGTCTCATGTTTCTGTATATACTGCTGCTCACCTTCACTGTGCGACCCCATCACCAATTGTCTCTGGTATGGCCTCTAACACAGCAGTTAATCAAACCATGAGCAATTCCTTTTAACCCATTTCCAGTGTTACAATGAATTCTTGCCCATCATTGTTTTCCCCTTTAATTCCTGCCACTCATCAGTGTCTTTATAGTAACACACTGCTGAGGATGCAACTTTCAGTCAGTTGCAGGGTTCAACTACCTTTACACATCAGTATTTTAAGGGTGTGGAACTGCCAAATTACATTTCCCCTAGCCCCAGCCATTCCACTTGCTCCCACATCTTTCTACAGACTCCAGTATTTACAGTAACCCTTTCTGCATCCCTGCTGAGGAGGGACTCCTGCCTGAAAGCCAGTTTCACCTCCTGGGGGTCACAGTTCTGCTGGAATGGGAGTTAAAACACCCATGCCAAGATATGAAAGGTAAACATTGTGTTGGAGACAAAGCAAGGTTAATGAGATTAAAGATCTGTGCTCCAGTTGGAGATGTTGGTTCTGTGCCACGTGTAACTCCATGTATTTGTGTAGAAAATAAGTGAGGGAAGAATGAGACTGAGGAATCCTGCAGTAAAACTTCTTCAGAACCATCCCAATCTCTGTTCCCACTCCTGGAGACCTCTACTCCCAGAGTGTTTCAGCACTTGTTCAGTATCAGCCCTGAAAGCTATTGATATCTACGGAGCTACAATCTTTCTATCTAGAGAGCAAACTGTGTTCATCCTAACTAATACTGTGCTACAGGGAAGATAGGGAATCAGTCTTTCAAAGCCTGCAAATGGTAACTAAAAGGACAACTTCCTCACTATTTAAATACAGAGCGATCCAAAATAAATATTTCCATTTATCCCAACAGCAGCAAAACCCCAACCCTGTAATCTTTGAATTCAAATGAGGAAAAAATAGATGCAAAAGCACCCTGTTGTCTGAACCACATGGAAGGAACACCATCTTTAAGCAGTTACGCTTAATTTCTCTTTAATTTCGGAAAGCCAAGAACCACAGACCACTTGTCTCAAAGTACAAGATAAGCCCCTTGGCATAAACTGTTCCCAAAGATCTTTTGCAGGAGGCAGGGATTACCCACTTCTCCCAAACCCTTCCAGAAACGTGATCATGCAATCCTGAAAAGCACCTTAACCTGTTGATCCCAGTATCACACATTTGAGACCATCATGTAATATATCCACCATTCTTATTTACGTGGGATTAATTTCAAGGCACTTCCTTGAAATTAAAAAAAAAAAAGCATCTCAATACAATAAGGAACTCCTAAATTAAGTTGGTGAGGCACTGCAGTGTCAGGTTTTTAAACGGAATTATCAATGGGAAGCACTCTTCACAATTCCCAAACTTTGGAACAAAGGGTCAAGAAAATGGGAAGCTGGGAGACAGCACCTCCTCCTCCTCCCTGTGGTCACAGAGCTGTGGGTATCAGCTGCCAGGCCAGGCAAAGGTGAGGCAAGACCTGCTTAGCCTCACGTCTCACCAAGCAGCCATTTCCCAGGCTCCCACTGCCAAAGGGGAAGCTGCCCAAATTAAGCATCTGCTTTGCTTTCTTCTCCCTCCACTCTCAATGCTGTCTTGGGGCAGGGTTATCCTTTACTTTTTGCCTTCTACGCCTCAGGTTCTACAATGCCATCACCGCTGCCTTCTCACTGTGCACCCTCCCCTTTCAACCACTCTTCTCCACTGCCTATCCCAACAGCCATACCACCTATTTCCTTTCCGACTATTAAACATCAAACAAAACACAGAATCATCATGCCACAGGCCTGCAAAAAGCTCTTGCTGTGTTTTCTATTCTCCTTTCCTTTCTGCCTCTGCATTCCCAGCTCCAGACGTGATAATCCAACGCAGCATCACCTCTACAGCAGTTCACAGAACCGAATCTATGCAAGAGCCCAAGATAACAATACCGAAAGAGTACCACCTAGTTACACCAGTGATTTTCAACCTTCATCCCAGGCTATTAAAAATAACCATGAGCAAGTTTAAAAGACTTCGTTTTCATTCGGGAAACAAATACCCGGCATTTCTGAACTGCTGCTCCTACCGTAAGTGTTTAACAGCGTGATTTCAGGAGATAACACAACGTGCTTGAAAACAAACAAACAAAACCCTACAGCCCCGGGGCCCCACGTTTTCCGCCGCGGAAGCCCGCAGGGGGGACTCACGGCCCCCACTCCTCGCGCACATGGCGAGCGGAGCCCTCCCGTCAACGGCCGCAGCCCGCGGCTCTGCTCCGCCGGGTCCCCGCGCCTCCCGACAGCGACAACGCCACCGGGGGGGTGGGGTAGGGGGTGAGCAGCAGGCAGGAGGAGCCGGCCCCGCGCCGGGACTCGGGGGACGGAGGCGGGGTGGGGAAACGGACACCGAGCGGGGCTCAGGGACATGATCCACGCGAGCGGGGACTTGGGGGAGCCCAGGGCAGGGGAACGGAGCCGGCAGGAAGGAGACAGAGCCGGGCTGGGGTGGGGGGAAGGCAGGCCGCGACAGCAGCCCGCTACAGGGCGGTGGGCTGAGGGGACGGGGGAGGGAAGCGGCGTCGCGCCCCGCCTGCGGCCGTAAATAATGCCGGCAGCGAGGAGGGCCCGGGCCCGGGCCCGGGCCCGGAGGGGTGCCCACCCCCAGCGCCCGGCAGGCGGCGAAGGGCGGCGGGGCGGGAGGGGAAGGTGTCTCACCCAGGAGCCGCAGCAGCACGCCCAGGAGCGCGGCGCACAGGGAACCCCCCGGCAGCGGGGACGAGTTGAAGATGGCGTCGATGAGGAACAGGCTGGGCACCCGCAGCGCGACCTCCAGCCCGGCCCGCAGCCGCGGGCCCAGCCGCAGCCACGGAAGCTGCGGAGGGCCCGAGGCCGCCATCCCCTGCGAAGGGGGCACGCAGCCCCCTTTCTCCCGCCTCGTAGGGAGCGGAGGGGTGGCTGCGTGGGGAGGGGTGGCGGCTGCAGCGCTCGCTACCGCCCCGCGCCCACTGCCCGGGCCCCCCGCTGCGCCGCTGCCGCCTCCATGTTCCTCTGCGCTCCCTCGGCAGCGCCGGCCCCAGCCGGGCCCCGGGGGCGGGGCAGGGCCGCGCGGGCGTCGCATGCGCGGCTCCGCCCCTGGGCCCAGACGTGAGGCGGCCCCGTGGCCTGCCCGGTGGCGGCGGGCGCTGCCCGGGAGTTCCGCGCTTGCCCTCGGGCGTGTCTACGGGAGCGGAGGGGAAGAGCAGGCAGCATCTGTCATTACATAAAACACACCCACGGGCCCGTCCATCGCGTTCCTACAACTTCTCCAGCACAAAGAGCCCTTTCCTCCTGATTCCGGGGCGTTGTTTGTCCCGCCGCGGGTTTCCCCCGCCTGTTCACCTCAGGGATCCCGCCCCGAGGCGTGCGGGAGCGCTGAGGTAAATCCTGCCCCGCCGCGCAGTGAGGCGTTCACCTGGGACGGTGATGAGCGGTTAATGAGGGAGGGGTGAGTGGAGCGTCCTGTCCTGGCGGGTGTGAGGCAAAAGTGCTCTCTGGCTAAGCGCATGGCTGTAGGCCGGTATCGTGTGGGGAAGAAAGGTATTTTCCTCTGAAACCTGTTTCCTCCCTCATGCATCTTCACAGAAGACACAGGGACTATCAGAAACTTAAGGCTGACTTGATATAAAAAGTATATTAAAAAAACAAACGCACACGTGTAAGCAACGTTAGTCCATCCCAAAAGGGCATTTTGCACCCCATCGCTTGGGCAGATCAAACCCCGCTTCAGGCCACCCCTGTCGTGTGCCTGTTGGCATCTGCCCTGCTGGCCTGTGCCAGTGTCCGCACCAGCTCCACCTGCCGCAGCTCAGCCCTCTCATCAGCCTCGGTAGTCCATGGCTTAAGCCCTTGGAAGTCCTATTGTGCTCAGAGGATTTTGGATCGCCAACAGCAGTATTGCACAGGAACTGTCCTCAGCAATGTCCTGCGCTAACAAAGCCAGAAATGTTGCCGGATTGCTAAAGGATTGTATTACAAAACCCATGGACAAAGTGTAATCACATGCTGAAAGGCATAACTCTGACCTAGTAAGTATCCCCATGCCAAATAACAGAGGTTAGGGTTTAAAATGTCAGAAGTGCTTGTTTGACTTAGATTTGAAGATACCTGAATCACAGTGATTCAGACTTGCCTGAATAATTTTACTCCTCAATCAAGTATAAGATGCTGGATATAAATAAAAGTATTTGGTTTGAAATTAAAAGAGCTGTAAATCAAGCAGATCTGGGTACTTTAATTCCCTGTCCTCCCGAGCCCCGTTCAACTTCATTTAATATCCTTGTCAGTAAAGGGGATCTTACATCTGTTTTGGTAAGCTTCAGGATCAGAGGTGATGCTGTAATACATATTTATATCGCTTCAAGGACATGTGGAGTAAATGGAATCCATTAAAGGGATTTTCAGGTTTAAATACGTGCATTTACAAGCATATTTTACAGATGTTATTTAGGCATGTAAGTACAGTCATGGGTATCTGCAAATTATTTTGGGCATAAGCAGTTCCAGGTTGCAAACATACCAGAAATTCTAGTGCTAGTGGAGCATATCAGCTCAATCGAATACATTTCTTTACACTTGTTCTTCAGAAAACTTGTGGCAGTGTTAAAGATTCCTTCTTTTCATTTAAATGTAATAAAAAGAATCAAAACTCTATTATGCTGTGTGCAAGATGTAGGAAGATGACACCTACTGGAGGTTTCTAATTTTGCAGTTTGCACTAGAGTTTCAAGTGAGGAATAATAAACCCGATTCAACTTTGTAACACAAGCTCACCTCTACTGAATTCACTTCAGTTATATATATATAAATCGAAGAAAACCCCTATTCTTTACTGTTAGGGTGGTGAGGCACTGGAATGGGTTGCCCAGGGAAGTTGTGAATGCTCCATCCCTGGTGGTGGTCAAGGCCAGGTTGGACAGAGCCTTGGGTGACATGATTTAGTGTGAGGTGTCCCTGCCTATGGCAGGGGGGTTGGAACTAGATGATCTTAAGGTCCTTTCCAACCCTAACTATTCTATGATTCTATTCTATGATTCTATTTCTGAGGTTTAATATAGGCTCAACATCTTCGTAAATTTGGGCATTAAATCCTAAGTGCATTCATATTAATACGATATAAAAAATGTTTTCTTAGCTGGGGACTTTGCAAGTTCTTTTCATAAACAAATGAACAAATTAAGCAGAAAGTTCCTTTATTTATCTATATAGATTAACTGTTAAGGGCAAACAGTCCTGAACTCCAAGGTGAAGGTTGTTCCACGTATCACTGTGGCGGTGTGTATCTGACTTGGTAAGCGTGTCAAGTGTCAAGCCCACACCCCATGACAAGGCAGTACAAAAGAACATGCCCTGGGGAGCAGTTTCATAATAAATAAGAACTTAACACTCAAAAATGCTTTCCAAACAATTTAGTACACATCCAATATCAGGCTCTGAGTCAGAAAGGTGCAGATCGGTTCATTTCAGTGACAAATACAAGTCACTACAATCCATTGACGTTCTATGCGGTATGTGGCAGAAGTTTGGGGGTTTACTCTTAGTTGTGTAAAAACAACTTTGGTGGTTTTTTTGACAGCTCAGAGTGGTCAAAATTCATATTTAAAAAAAAAAAATTACTTACATTTTTCAAATCGAGATGTTTAGACCAAAAGGAACTGCATAACTACACATTGTCAGGCAGCCTTTGGTGCTTTCTGTGAGCTGCAGCTGTATAAGTAGCATGTGCTGAAATCAGTGGACATGGAGCAATCTTTGTTAGCTTATGGAATGGTAGGACCATGTCATGGAAGGTGTCCCTGCCCATGGCAGGGGGTTGGAACTAGATGGCCTTTAAGGTCCCTTCAAGTCCAAACCATTCGGTGATTCTATAAGAGTCTCAAGTCTGCCATGCCACATTTAGGATCTGTACCCATATATGATGGCCACATCTATACCTACTTTTTGACAAAACAATTTTTGAGTTTTTCAAACTCCTCCTTTTGCGTAAGTGCTGTCACGAGCCTTTCAAGACAAAGGCTTTATTGGATTAATGCCAATGTTCACATCAGTATTACAAAATTACATGGTCTCGCAAAAGCCACTTTTTGTAAGTAAGAAGACTAAATATGCAGGGGAGGTTTTAGAGTACTGTTTTTCTTCTAACTACAAGGTCTTAAAAAGCTTTAAATAGACATGATACCTTTGCCTTGAAATACCACGTGTCAATTTTGCCTAATACAACAACAGTGCATTTTGTAAGCATGAAAGCAGCTGGCTGCTAACAGTGCAAAATACGCATGTCAAAGATGTGTTTTAGTTTGCAATGAATGTAGCAATCCATTAACTATTTCCACATTTAATATCTCCTTCCCAGATACCTTTAGCAGTGAATTACTCAATACCATTTTGCATTCCTTATGTAAGAATAAAGCTCTGTACAGTATGTCTTTAATTTTGTCACAACAGCTTTTAATTACAATCCATCAGGATGTCTATATTTTGCACTGAAACAAAACCCAAGAGTCACTGAAGGAATCTTAAGTGGGTTTTCTTCTCCCAGGATGATTTTCTAGCATGAAAAAGACCAGTCTGTATTTTTAAACAGACAAATACTGGTGGTTTATTAGTGTAGGCTTTGGGGGGGTTCAGCAGTGGGTGACACTCAGCTGTGCTCTTGGAAGCATCATAATTCTGCACACTGAAATGCTGCATTCAGGCGTTGTCAGCATGTGCTGCTAATGAGAATGACCTGGCAATTAGCGCATATAGAGGCACAGACTTTCATACATCTAACTTGCTGTTCTGCAGTTTGATATCTATGCACTTTAAGGCTGAGAGAGCTGGGTTTGTTCTGACTTGAGAAAAGAAGGCTCAGGGGAAACCTTATCCCATGTTCCAGTAACTAAAGGGTGGCTAAAAAGAAGATAGAGACTCCTTTTTTACAAGGAGTCACATGGAAAAGACAGGGGGTGTTGGGTACAAGTTACTCCTGGGGAGATTTCAACTGGACACAAGAGGAAAATTTTTCACAGTGAGAACAATCAGCCATTGGAATAATCTCCCCAGGGGAGTGGTGGATTCTCCAGCATTGAACACTTGTAAGTTCAGCTGGACAGGGTGCTTTGCCTAGAACGGTTGGACGAGATGATCCTTGAGGTCCCTTCCAACCTGGTATTCTACAATTCTACAATTAAAAGACACCGTTAGTCTTTATCCAAGAATAGTTTATGTCTTCTGAAGAGAAAGTAATCAAATCAAGGTAAGATTTGAAAAGTGAAGGTAAAACCTGTAAATATTGTTATTGTCATGGGACCTTTTCAATATATTGAGAATTTCCTTATAAAAATCAGTGTGTTTAAGATTAATTATTGTTTTACATTTGGGGTTTGTTCCTTCTTTGCTGCTGAATGCCATGGGCTTAGATAGCATATCTTAGAAGAAGCTAAGAAAGCAGAAGGCAATTTACTCATAGTGAGTGTTTGACAAAACAGATCATAACAACTAGGTTGTGTGAAAGATGGATTTTGATTTCACATCTGTGTGACATGTCTGTAACCCAAGAGCACTCACTGCGTTCCCCTCAGTGGGAGGGTGGCAGGTTTATGTTGTTGAAGAGGATGCTCACTTGGGAAGTTCAAAATGCCTCAAGAGTTTTCTGCCTTGGCAAAGCAAGGCAGACACTAGAGAGTCAAAGCACAGGGATGAGTCTTGGATCATCCTGACAGGATGACTGACATCCAGGTGCATGAGGAAAATCTCCCAATTCTATAATTCTCACCATATTCCTTTAATGACAAACTTTCTCATTCTCTTTAAAGAGATGATTGCAAAGAAATGCGTTAGGCCTTGTTGTTCATGGTTTACAGTTTTCCATAAAACTGTGCAGAGAAAGAGCCTTATGGGTTTTTCTCTGCTGAGAAAAAAAGTGTGATAAGGTTATGAATTATATTAACAGTTGCTCACTGGCATATTTCTCTTACTTCCTAACTATGACCATCATA